CCATTTACCATTTACCATTCCTCTATGTTATTTGTGTTCATTGTCATAATTAGTCAGGTGTCGTCAGTATTTTTTGTATGATTTCATTAATTGTATAATGTACACCTGTGTCATCTTACAGCCGTGTCTTCATCCCCAGAGTCATAGTCCTAATCAGAGCCGCTGTAAATCAGATGGCCTCAGGAGGCTGTGAGCCCGGTTCTGTTACGCGCTTGCCCTGCTTTGGTTCTGTTGTTTATTCCGGCCTTGCTTTTTGGCAGAATTTCCTGAATTTCCTACACTAGTTGTGTTCAAACTCCCCCCTATCCTTTGAGCTCCCACTCCAGGTAGAGTCAGCTAATAGGACCACTAAGTATTTAGTGGCAGCAGAAGTGAGCACATGCAACAGTGCACCGGTAAGTGACTACCTGTGTCACAAGAGAATAGGTCTGTGTTGCAACAATCCTCTGATGTCAAGATGTTACAACTCTTATTACAAAGTTGTAATGTAAAGTGCTACCACATATTTTTTTTTTAAATTGTGCCACAAGTTAATCAAATATGTTGTGGAATATCCCTCCTTGTCACACATCTTAACATATGCTTCTTTAAAGCGCGGTCAGTGTGGGTCACACAGCACAGTGAAGCAGTTTGTGGTTCAGTGACTTTGTAGAATATTGTTTGGCACTGTACTGTAAAAGTAAGGCTGACCGCCCTCCAATCACCATCTGGGAAAAAAAAAAAGAAATACACTCTGTAGTTGGGGCTGGGGATTATGTTTCCACAAAAAGGACAGCATTTGCCACACTCTAGACTGCTACAGAATGTCAAGACAGTGGAATTTCATGAATGCATTAGGTGAAGCACAGTTAGCTGCAGTGCACACAAACCTGCACTGAAAAACAACCCTCACGACACGGCCGTATATCTGATTATGTGAACAGCCCTTATTGGCCTTGCAGGCATAATTAAAATGAATTTCAGCAACAGGTTTTTGCTAAAGCAATCCTATATAACCCAGAAAACCTGAGGTATTGAGAGTTATATTCATTACTATTTGGATTTTCCTTTTTTCAATGCATTTCTGTGAATAGTAAGCAGTATACACTGGAGACAGACAGCAAAGATACCGGAGAGATGGTGGGGTAGATGAAGTGACAAAAAAAGTTCAGAGTTATGCAGGAACTGACAACAACACCTCCACATGGTACCCACCACAATGAATCCGCATTCATTTAAAAAAAAAAAATGATATGATGCTGGTTTTGTTGGACTGCCTAGCTCATATCCGGCCAAGTGCTATTGAATTATTATAATAGGGATGTATTTGTTAATGTGTTTGGGTGTAATGAGCAGATAAGTTATGTGCACTATTGGAACAATTTTTCCATTACTATTTATAGTCAGCCTCACCTTCACCTCTAGCTGACAATGGTCTCCATCAGGACAATCGAGGTCAAGGAAGGTCCACAGACCTTTGGCTGTCCCAGCCTCCTCTGCTTCCCCATTTGAGCTGGACTAATGAGGCAGACAGCTGCTCCCTTAGTTGAAATGTCCCTGTGGTGAACTGTACCTGTGAGAGGCAGAGACAATGTCACCTTCACATTCAGGCATATTACAAGAGGAAAACAAAGCAGACCTATGACATCAAGAGAAAACATGCACAAAGATTAGCTTGTGGACAACAAGATGCTCTCATCTATATACAGCACATCCAGCATCAAGCATGCACTTAAGTGCTCTAACACAGTTGTTGTTTAATGTTGTCATCCTTAAAGGGGCCGGTCTGGTCAGGCTCATATTAGCCTATACTTTGTCTTCTCACAAAGTAAATTGGTTTTAGACATCTGTTTCTGAGGCTTGGCAGAGTTCAATAAAACACAGCCAGGATAGAAATGCTTTTGCAATGTAATTAGGGGACTTTGCTGAGACGACATGTACAAATGTGAAATAAGAAGGTAAAATCCAGCAAGGCTGGGTGATTAGGCCTCATTTGGTTGTCTTCTGCACACTGTGACGAGCGGCTGTTTCAGGGCAAGGCGGTCGCTCGGATCGAAGGCCCACAGTGTCTAGGATTATGTGTCAATTTACCACCCAGCTGCAGCTCTAGACTCTACAGCAGAACATGACTACCTCTAATTAGGCCATGCTACCAATTAGGGCCCTGCAATAAGGCAACGAGAAAGGCACTCAGGGAGAGTAAAACCTACCATTGTTTCCACCATAAAAAAAGACTGTTTTCTAGCTCCAACAGCTGTCGAAGCCTGGAGTCCATGTCAACCAGACTTCCATTAAGCTATCTTTGGTTTACTGTGATGTAATGAATATATATGATGAGTATGATGACAGAACATTAACTTTGAAAGGTGTCAAGTCTGAATAGTACATTAATGTAGTTCAATGAAAAGACGATAACAACAACATATTCCTGTCATGCCCATAACCTCAAACTCTGTTTCATAATCCCACAGGTAGCCAAGGTCAGTTCCCTATTACTCAGAATGTGACGGTGGTGGAGGGGGCCATAGCCAACATGACCTGTCGTGTGGATTACAATGATAACACTTCCCTCCAGTGGTCAAACCCTGCACAACAGACCCTATTCTTTGGGGACAAGAAAGGTGAGTAATATTCCTGCAGATAATGGCCATAATGATAAAATTATGAGATATGATAAAGATGTCTTTGTCAGGTTATATTACTACAGGAGTCTTCTTCATCAATTTTTCAGATTTGTAATGTATAAAATTGTCCCTGCCTGCCTGCCTGCCTGTGAGCACTCAATTTGACTAAATACAGGAAAAAGACAGGATAAGAGTGAAATGCATTACTCGTAATGTCAAAGCAGACTTTTAATGAATGTATGTCTCCATTGATGTCCCAGGGCACAAACTAAACAGAAATAGACTGTTTTTGAATTGAACTTTTGTAATCACGCAACATACTGACAGTGTTGTTTACAGCACAGTGACGCCTGTGGATTGTGAGATGATTGGGCTTAATTAGCATTTTAGCTGCCCTACATTTTTATAGCTGTTTGGATGTCACTGAAAAGGAAGTGCACTGTTGCAACCTCGTGAAACAAGGCCTGAGCCAGAATGAATTATAATGTGCTCTCACCAGCCAAATCCAATTTAAAGGTGACAAAAGTCTGGAGTTGATAAATTGGAATTGGGGTGAAAGGGAATATAACAGTGGACTGGTCTTGTAAGGGTTGGGGTGTTCATCTTTCAGTGTTTCTCACAGCATATTACCCATTTCATTTATGCTGTAGCTGCTAATACAATATCATTGGTTCAGTGATTGAAGATTAACTTTCTCTTTGAATAACAATTGATAGGAGAGAGAGACGCCAGAGTGAACCAGCAGAATGAGAGTCACAGTCTGGTTTGAAGAAATACTTTATCCCTCGCAAGTGATTGGATTTAGTAATGAGGTCTAAGGTGTTTTATTAGATGAAATTACTTCCAAATACAATTAAACGAAAGTTAACTGAATCTTAAATATATACTCTTGTGTCAATGGTGTGAATGTGCCCAAAAGATTTGAATTCAAGTAAAAGCCATTGAACCTAAAGCATTCTTTTTTTATTGTTATTTTTTCTGTATTCTCTGGTGTACAATATATGTAATATTTGAATACCTGAATTTGCAGAACCAGTTTTGAAAATTCTGAATTATTATTATAGATTATATCAGAAATAAAATCAGAAAACCTTCACTTCTTTGCACTTTGAAGAGGTGTAATACATGGTAAACAATTGAAATCATATCGTTTGGTTATTTGATTTCGCCTAAAATAAGCACGTTAACTGTGTTTTGTTCACATTGTTCACGTTATAAACATGTAAGGAGATCTTGGAGTGCATATGTATGAGCCACTTTGCCCTTTTTGGCCATCCATTAATATTGCATGACAGAATCCTATACCAGAGCAATACGGATGACAAAATGAATGTGGTCCACTCAGCACAGGTTGCCAGGGCTAAGTGTGGGAACACTTCCTCGCCATCTCCTTCTAAACAGCCAAATGAAAAGCTTTATTGGCACAACTAATACGATGCCTGTGAGGCCATCAGGAGAAACGGGAGGCGTGGAACAACACAGGCTTCATGCGAGGAAGAGGGTGGGACACCTGGGAAGAAATCTCTGCTGTGCCAAATCACCAGTTAATTGCTTGGCAGAGGGCTGCAACTGTCCTTCTTCTCCCATTTGTTGTACCTTCTTGTAGGAGCCAATGAAAAATGTTAGATTCAACCTTATGCTACCTTTCAGTCCAACAACTAACTGCAGACTGGCTGAGCTTGAGGCTGTTCTTTTCCTCTGATGAGCAGATGGTCATAGACTGCTGTCATTGAGTAGATTAGATTAATGCAGCTACGTTGCATTTTATTGTTCTCAGTGTTTAGATGTTTTGGTATCTTTTTTGCCTGATGTTTAGATAAACCTTTTCTTTCCCCTGTGTTTGTTGTCTCTGTTGTCCATCTCTCTGCTTACTACAATCCGCTTGGGTGTCCATGACAGCATAGCCATATGTTACAATTTGATGCACATGCAAGTTTCCCCCATTCTCTCTTCATAAAGGTAGTTCGTCATTGTGCATGTGTAATCCAAAGGAAATTCAGCTTTTACAGCTTTTATTTCCAATCCGGGATGCTTAACACATACAAGTAATGATGATAAAAATACATCTGCTGTTCTGTCTTAAATAAGACAAAATGCTCTGTGAGGCATTTTTTTTAAATCTACTCTTGCTGTTTCCCTCAAGCTCAGTATTAAAGATAAGGGCATTAGTCTGGATGTGTTTGGAGTTTGATATAAAATAGTGAGGGATGAAAAAGAGCATTAAAATGACCTTTTAAATCCTTTGCAGCAGCTATAGTGGAGTTTAGAGAAACATTTTTTAAAAAGCTGAAGTTCTGTATTATATCAATTGAGTTTGACAGCTGCTGGGAATGGTAAGACAAAATCTGATCTTTGCCCCAACTATAATTTGTTCCATTTTAATTCAGGTCTGACAAATAAGAATATGAAAAAAGCCCCAAAGAGTAGCTTTTACAGCCAAGGAGAATAGGGATTTCCGTCTTTCCAGAATTTTAAAGCCACTGAATACCATAAGTCTACTCCAGTGTAACAGTAGGAAAAGCAAGTATGTGTATCTTTTGCATCAAACATCATCCATACATGAATGCCCATAATGTAGCTCCTAATACCTAAGACATAAAAGATTGTTTGTTGGTGCTTTCCAAAACTGTGTTTTCTGATCTGCCAACTCTATGGTGAATGTTTGGTTAATTGTGGACCAATTAAACTACTTGTTTAATTGTTTTAGTTGTTGTTTTTTTGATAGTTTGTTGGGCTTTTATTGTTTTTTATTTGATAGTAACTGCTGTAGAGAGACAATAAATGGGGGAGAGAGAATGGGTTACATGCAGCAAAGGGCCACAGGTCGGAATTAAACCCAGGCTACTGTTGTAAGGCCTTTGTACATGGGGCATGTGCTCTACCAGGTGAGCTATCAAGCCCCTATCTGGATATGGTTAGATTAATTAAAGATTGATTAGGTTAGATGGTTAAAAGAAACACATTTTTACAGTTGGTAGGGGACAGAATATGAATTAACCATTGACCCCAACGTCCTCCATAAAAGGTTTTGCTTTGCTATGACAGTGTCACCCAAAAAAAATTATAAAGTAAGTATAATCGGGTCATTTAACAAATTTGAACTGAAGTACTGATGCTGTCATTTTGCTGTCAAGGACAGCCTCCTTTAATGACAAGAGTACTCCAATTAACCTTTTGTTAATTTAATTGCAATATGTAACAGAAGAAGGATCACAATGTTACACTATTAGTTTATAAGTCCATTGGGAGAAATTGTGACCTACGATTTGTCTACACAGCAATGTCACGTCTCTTCAAAGACCTGAAAGGAGGAAAAGAGATGTGGTTGTGGGTGCAAAGAAAATAGTGGGCAGGTGACAGCTCAATAGCTTAATGTATCTTTGGTGAGAGTGTAAACGATAAGAAGGACCTCTATCTCATCCTCTCCCATAAGAGGCTCAGTCAAACCTTGTGCCGCTCCAAGAGAGTGTTAACCTTGCTGGATTTCCAAAGCCGATCCATATGGGCTGGACTGTCTCTGCACATTTGTCTAAAGCTGAACACAGCCCTCTCCTTATATCATTCCAGCTGGTTACTTGGCATGCTTCTCCTCATCCATTATGTATATCTGAGTCTTGGTTGATTGTTGCCACCTGAGAGGCTTCAGACAACACTATGGCAAAGAGCAGCACGCAGATTCCTACGTACTACTGCCACAGACCTGAGACAACAGACATAGATTTCCTTAATAGCTAGTCCAACACATTATTCATACATTAGGCCAATTAGCATTGACTGTTGAAGGGAGTGGCTCTGTGGTGGGCTGCCATGATGAATAAATTGATTTGGACCATATGTCTTTTTTGGAAATATCCCTTTTATGTGTTGCCGGGGTTATGAATTATTATTACTGAGCAGGACAAATGAGAGCAGAGCTGTCCTTTGCTGTCTTCATTATGATTTACTTCACTTTTGGCTTCTGTGGGAAAAGGATAAAACCTAAGTAGCGATTCTGTAGAGAATGGTAATGACATTCCTGGAGGCATGCAGGATGGAAGCAGAATCTTTTGTCAGATATGGTGAATATGAATAATGCAATTAATGGGAAGATACTGCAGGTTGCATGTCAAAGGCAGATAACAAATTGCTCATTTGATCCACAGTATGTGTTTGTAGCAGAGATATTGAGATGTATACAGCATATACATGCATGCTTTGGCAAATTGTACATCACTTTTCCTCATCTCAATTCCATCTCTCAGAAGTTTATGGTTCATCATTCATGACATTTAATTGGGGCATTCAGCCTGGATCATAAAGGTCACAAAGCAAAATTGATCTTAATTGGCTTGTAGTAATCAAAATGCTGTTATGTGCTAAATGAATGCTCTAATGTGAGCATTAAAACATTCATTAGCTTGAGAGAATGAAGGATAATTACCAAGGATGTAATTACTGGAGTAAGCACCAATGAAAGCACATTTAAACGTCCATTCTAGTAAACACACAACATTTGATGGTGGGTCTGTTGTACGCAAGTACAGTGGACACTTAACTCAGCCCGTTCACAGTTATCAGTGTGTACATCTATTTTCTGTGTGAAATTGACATGAACTACTAAAGTCATAATATTATTATTATAATTATTATAATCATATTTATTTATTTATTAATAATTACATTTTGGAGCAGATCTGAATCACAGGGCGGATACACAAATTATTTTTAACTTTTGTTAACATTGCGAGATAGGTCAATAAAAGAGGTGTCTATGGCAAAATCTGCTGAATTTGTTGTGCATGTAAGAACCCATCGTGATTTAAGTGATTGGTGTACCGTGACTAAACATAAAACAAAACATAACAGCCACCTCAAACATCACTGTAGTAGACAGGCATAGATATGTGCTCTCCAAATGCCCATCTTGTTGCTGTTGATGTTGTTTTCTTCTTTATATTTATTTGGCATTTGCCTCTGCATTATTGTATAATGGACACCTCAGTAAAGCAAGAAGAACATGTAAAAGAGGAAAAAAGTCATATAAATACTATATATAAACTAAACTAAATATATTAAAATGTGAAAGAGTTAAACATATCGTGGAGTTCTTAAATGCATATGTCAGGTATCCCACATTTTCTTTAGTTATCTTACATTTTCTTCCGTTAGCTTGGAAAAAGAATCTCACACTGAAGTGATTTTGTGGAACATTTCCCAAGCCACAAGTTTGTTCTTACAAGTGTTTTGTTTACTTTTCAGTGACTGTTTTTACTGGCGACATGTAGAAAGGGTCTCACGGCCACAGCTAATGTCTTTCTTCAGGGACTAATGGGCTTTTAAGTGTACTGGGTTACCTCCAGCTTCACTGAAATGTGAATCTACCATTATGGCACTATACACTCGCTATTATCACTAATGTGAAGAGATGCTCTTGTATGTACTATACTAGCTCTGTGCCACACTGCGCTCTCATGTATAATGTATATTTGCTCTTTAGAATAATAAAGAATATGTTGTATTTAAATTCCTTCAGAAGTTTGAGACCTGTTTAGATTATTTTTACAGGAGCTAAATCATTGGTATGTCTTGTACTGTAATATGTCTTTGGAAAAACGGAATGTGTAAAACTGTACTGAAAACCAACAGAATTATGTAACCCCATTGGCACTTGTTTTAATAAAAATTAAATTTAGAGAGTTCACATAAAAAAATTGTCTCAAAGGCAGAAAAAATCCCACAGTATACAATCAAGCTTATGTCAGTGGGCTGAAAAATGGACAGACAAAAATATATTCAGTCTCATTATTCACCACTTGAAGAGGGGACATAGCATAGCTGCTGGGAGAATTCCTTCTTCTTTCTTTCCCTCCTTCAAGCGCTGAAAATGAGTCCAATTTGAGTAGCATCTGCTCTGTGGGATCTCTGAGAGCGCGGGCAGTAACAATGGCCCTCTGGAACAAGGCCCTTTCCTTCTCTTAATTGCAGCCACATGTGTGGTGGGAAAGAGCCCCCTGCCTGCACCACTAGCCCTGGAACACATCCAGAATCGCCCACACAGTCACTGAGCGAGCACAGCCAGCAGCAAACACACTCTAATTGCAAAGAGTGGAGCCCCTGGCTGGAGAGTGGGGGGGGGGTGCGCCAGGACCCTGTGTTCTCGCTGAAGGACAGCTAGTGCTTTCACATTCCAGGACTGATTCAAAGTGGTTACAGGCCATGCAAAAATGGCCAAATGGGGACACTCAGCATTGCGGATGTAACATATTTTGGCTGAACCCAGAAGCCATCGGCTTGTTTCCAAGACTAATGGATAGATGTAAAATGTCCTTTTCTATCTGGACTGTCAGGAGATACTTCATCGTTTTGGATTAGAAACATTGGTTAACATCTGTCTGCTGCTCAGTGGAGTGCAGAAGTGAATGCCATGTGATAAGTGCACTTCCAGTTCTTCTGCTTCCAGTTTTATCTGAGGACAGAGCTAATGTAGCTACCACCCAGACTCTCAGCTCTTCTTTTACACATCAAAACAGTACACCATATTGTAATAAGTACTTTTAACAGCTGTTTCACATATTAAAACAGGACTATTTGGCATACAGATAATGTAACTTAGTAAAATTGAACTAGGTTGATAAAATTGAATCTGACAAAGTAGTTCTATTGGGAGACCTCGGACTGGTCTTCCACTGACATGGTTGGTGGTGCAAAGGACTGCCAGGGCAACAAGGCAAACATTACTTTGCATCAAAGAGCCATAGCAACAGTATGCCTTGCCCTGAGGGGGAACTGGAGTGTCAGTTTTACTGATTTCAGACAGCCTTGGTAAGGCCTCCATCACAGGAGATGTACTGCGCATTAAGCTGCCATGCTGCAAGGCTGGAGCATACACAAGGTCAGGGTGCAGATTTATGCTTCCTCCTAAGCAGAATGAACAGCGCGGGAGCTATCTAGGGTTTGGGGGAAATGAACCTTTTCATCACATTGATTTCCTAAAGCACCTGGAAAAAAGCTTTGTCAGCCACTGGCATGTGGGTCTGATTGTGACGGATCTGTCCACAATCTGGGCCTCTAGCCTGGATTGGATTCTAGTGGTATGGCTTTCTAGCCATATGCTGTTTGAGTAATAGATAACACTTGTCTTTGGGTTATTCAAACCTTTGTACATCTCATTCTATCAATTTGTCATTGATTCACGTTATGTGTAGTGCCAGGGGCTGTCTAACAAAAATGCATCAGTCAAGTCCATCTTTTGTTTAACTGTAAGTTGTTTTTTCAGCCACTACTTGGGTTCAGACTACCTGAATCAGTATTTCAGCTACTGACCTTTCAGTTCTTTCAAAAATTCAGTTCTTAAATATAATATTGTTCAGTAGATAGAAGAAACAAGGTGTTGCCTATTTGTTACTTTAAATGTCACTTGAAATTATTGGACGTCCATACTGTATTTGGTCACTGTATTTAAAGCAATATTTTACATCTTAGACTAACAGACGATGTTAAAAGGCATTTGAAAGTTGGTTGTTTGAGAGAACAGCAGCTGCTGTCAGCTTGAGTTCAAGTCAGTTTCAGTGGATTGCAAATGTTAGTTTCAGCAAAGAAAGTCCAAAGAAACTTTTTAAACCACTGAACCACATATGCTCAGTGTGTTCCAAACAGTCATAATTTTGGTGAAATATGACTAAATACACTTCTATGGAGCTGGTTGTCAATGCTGCAACACAGAGGCTCCAGCCAATCTTTTCAAAATGATGACTGTTTGGCTCAGACTGACAATACAGATGGACAGTGGAGAAATGCATTATGCTGCAGTAGTTTGGGAAGTTTCTATCGAAATTTTTTCTGAAAATCTTGCCAACCTTAAAATCTGTTGTAACAGACATAAAATCAAGCTAAACAGAGTTGCTGGAGCAAAGTACAAATGTACACTTTTTTACATCCTTTAGGAAAAGCCAGAACATTTATCAGCATATCAGAGGTGTTTGTGCTTTGCGGAACAAGGGGTTAAGAAGAAGAAAGGTTGTTCTGCTTCTCCCTGTCTTTTCTCTGTGTGTTGCAGAGATAGAGGGATTTGGGCCAGGGGAAGTACAGTATGTCATCTTGTCCAAAGCTTTGATCCTCTCAGCCTGTACTTCCATATCTTTTGAGTTCCTGTACGATGTTTGCCTAGACCCCATCACCTCTCCAATGCATCCATCCACCAAAGGGTTTGCTGTTTTCTGCCAGAGCCTCTGGGCATTTTCAAGCTCTGTAGTGAGGATGCTTAACTACAAAGAACATCAGGCAGCTTTGTTTCAGGATGCAGTTTGCTACAGTAAGACTTTCAAATGTTTGTATTAAGCCCCGTAGCGCATAATAAGCCGGCTCTCTGATGGCACAGCTTGTTATAAAATTTTAATTCTGGCTTGAAGAATGTTTTTATTTATGCTATTCTTTATTCTTGGATAACAAAGAGTCTATAACAAGAAACTTCTGAAGGCCATCAATATCTTTATAGCCAATCTTTATTTTTCTCTTTTTAGCGTGTGTGATTATAAGATAATGATCTTCAAATAACGTGGTGTAATTGAAGCTGAAGAACTGTGTTGTTGATAATGACCTACGTCTGTGAAAATCTAATAATCATTTTAGCCAATCTAATTTAATTGTGTATCACATGTCTGTTGTGTTTATCGCAAAAATCAAATGAATGGGAACAGAGCAGGTGATTAATGATTTTCATAGAGATGTCTTCTTTATCTTACACATTTTACATTGGCCATGTTGATTAAATCCTAATCAACACCTACTTCTGCTGCATTTTGCCAAATCTGCCCTGTGTAGTACAATCCAACAGTGTTCAAATTACTTCAGGTGAAAGGGTGTCCAGGGAGAGAGCTGGCCAGGCCTAAAGGGACTGAGGATTAAGAAAGGTGTAATTTATTCAATGAAGAGCACTTTCCTTTGTGCCCTCTGTGGTTGGTTGCTTGTATGAGCAGATGATTCTGAATTTGAAATTATATAAGAGATGACACGTGTGAGATGTCCTTTTTTTGCTTAGCTGCATGTTTTTTTTTTAGCTTTACGAGGGTGTCGTCACATCTGAATAAGCAGTGGTGAAGGTGTCTGGTATCTTAAGAAAGCACTGAAAGGTTTGATTTCAAACTGTGTTTTAACAATGCTCATTGTAATGATTATTGTATCATGAATCTTAGAAGTAGTAATGGTTCATTTGTATGCAGCTGTAGAAGCTGTTTTTAAAAAACACTATTAGCAGTATTGTTGCTTTGTTTTTTACCTTCTCTGGGCTGGGATTCAGTAGAATCAAGTGTAGCATTACAGTTTGTCATTATTTGCATTCATTCAGACAACAATCATTTGTAACACAATATGTTTATCCAAAAACAATATCACTGATACATTGTCAATAAAAGACTAAATTGAATTATTTGTCAGCCCGTATCTGCACTATATTCTGTTATGACTTGTATGATTATTTGTCTTCTTTACAGTAACTGTATTAAGGGTTTCTGTATAAGGCTAGGGTGAGGCTTTGATATCAATGTTCAAAGTGAGAAATGTCACAGTCAGAGCCAGTTGCTAAAAGTGTTAAAGTAAGTGTAAATCAATACCTGGAATGTATAAGTGATTACCTAAATAGATATTTTAATCTAGGACTATAAGCTTTTTCTGCTGCTACGCTTCAAAGCATCCCACTGATGCCTTCTGTATTCTCACTGACTGAATAAGACTGCCTAGAATGCAAATGTAAAGAAAAGGTTACAAACCATTGGCTGTAGTATGTGTTTGTAGCATCAGACAACTATTTGAAATAAGTAAAAGCACAGTGCATTTGCCATCTGAATTACAAATGGTACTTCTACCAGTTAATTGCCATCCCTGAATTCAGCGTGAATTTGCCCATTAGTGAACTCTGTTTCTGTCTTTTTTTCTGTTCCCTCTGTGATTGTTGTGTCATCCTTCCTTTACAGCTCTAAGGGACCACAGAATTGAGCTGGTGCGAGCCTCGTGGCAGGAACTCACCATCAGAATCAGTGACGTCAGCCTGTCAGATGAGGGCCAGTACACCTGCTCGCTCTTCACCATGCCTGTCAAGACCACCAAGGCCTTTCTCACTGTTCTGGGTGAGCATGTCTGTTTTGGCCCAGTCTCCACAGGCCAATTACTTGTGGCTAATTTTTCATGCTCTGACAGCATGAATACATGCACATTTTGAATCCTGGTGTGTTGTTTTTCTTCACCACACACTTATTACTTTGTAGGAAAAAATAATTTGTGCATTATATTTTACCCTTATCTACTAGAGTACAGGATGACAGTTAAACTTGCATGTTAGTAGTGCTACTATATTTAATTTTCTGCCAGGCAGGACAGCCACGAAAAACTCAACCTTTTCACATCTGCGTAAGACAGACAGTTGTGTTGCAGAAATAAAAGTAATCTCCCACACACTGTCAAAACTTACAATGCATTTATTTAGACTTACATTTCTGTAAGATGACCTTCATCCAGCATCTCACAGCCAGACAGAAAAAGGTAATCTTGTTCTTATTTTTGAATGTATTTAATAAACCACAAACTTATTTTTTTATATTTAGTTTATTGTGAGCCATCATCTGCTTTAAAGAATTCCTATTGGTTTGTTTTTTGTTGTTTTTCATTATTGTGACACTACTGCATTTTTGTATATACAGTAAATGTTTAGTTTGATCTTGTAACCGAAAGAATAAGAAGGCATAGCCAATACCGCTCACTGGGTTATTACTCAATTCATCATGTACATGTATGCTCTATGTTATTTATAATTTTATATACATGCACCACAGGAGTGCCAGGACGACCGGAGATCACAGGATTTACCAAGCCTGCCATGGAGGGAGACGTAATCACTCTGACGTGCACTACATCAGGCAGCAAACCAGCTGCCAATATCCGGTGGTTCCGAAATGACAAGGAGGTCCAAGGTAAGCAATGGGGTGTGGATTTCACAGAGCATTGTATACTCTGTTACCACTTGTACCCTCTTGGAGACATCATTACTGTCAAGCCATCCAGCTGCTTCATTCGTTTGTGCTCATATTCATGCATTGTTCCACTGGCCGGGAGTTTAGTGGTGCCATGATTCTCCTGGCTCACAGCCAGCATTGCTGCTGTCATTGGAACCTGTCCAAATGTTGCTGGACTGTGGCAGGGCTGTCCACATTTCACAACCTGACCAAGGTGAAGACATATGGAAGTACCTCTTATTGATTCTAATTATAAAGTTAAGTGTACATCAACAGCAAGTTCTGCACAACATTTTGCTTTCACTGTTAGTGGCAATAAAGTAATGATGTACTCAGCTGGTCAATTAAAAGAAACACAAATCAATCCCGCAAAGGTGATTATCAAAAAAAAAGTCAACTCTAGGGTTTACTCTTGGGCTGTTGCATGTTTTCAGTTTCCACTCATACAGAGCAGAGAGGCAGCAAATTCCCACATTTTAAAAGCTAAAACCAGCAAACGTTTTACAGTTTTGCATGATAAAATTACTTAAACAATTGATTTATTACCAGATTAATTTCTTATTGATTGAGTAATTGAGTGGTAAATCACATTGTTTCAACACTGGTATGCCATGGTGAAGAATAGTGTTTTAGAGGAAGGGTATCCCTCTAAAACTGTCTGAGGGGAAGACCTGGAAGATTTTGCGCACAAAATGGCATGCTTACAGTCTGAGAGTGTTTTTAATTCATCCCACGGTTTTAAATAATTTGTACTACCTGCCTTAGTGCTGTTTACATGTGTTGAGGTGATCTTGCTGGGCTTCTCATTCGTTCCGCTGAGGTGCTTTATTTTATTTTATCAGCGATTAGATTAGTCAAACGAGTCAAGGAGGATACAAGAACACACAAGAATGGAAACTCAGAAAGACCACATAACTAGCTTCACCCAGACTGAAAAAAACTGTGACAGAGACAATGCATTAGGCAGCAGATGGTGCAGTGTAATGTGTGCTGATCACACTAAACCGGCAGAAGTTTTCTGTGGTTTCATACTGTGTGCCTTACAAGCTTTCACTTTCTTGTGTACCTCTTTCCAAACTGTCTGAAGCTCTGCACTTTGTATTTTTATAGCTTTTATCACTGTCTTATTTCTGCTTTAAAAAAGCACAGAAAGACAAAAACATAACAAAATAGGAATGGAATGTTTTTCCTCAATTTGATGGCAGAGGTAAGCTGTGTGCAGCTCTTTAATGTAATGGAGCCTGCTGCGGAGACTCGGTGTGACAGTTGCTCTTTATTGAAGATTTGCACCAGAGAGCTTTTTCTTGGTGGCTCTGTCTGTGTCTGCCCAACATGGCATGATGATTGATGGGAGAGGGGCTGGGATATGAAGTTTTCTTGTTGAAATGACATGCACGTAGATTCCTGAAAGGCCAGTGGAGAGCTGGCACACAGCATCACAACCAGACTTGCTGTCCATCTCAAGAGGCACTGAGATGATCTCTCTTTTTTTATGTCTTGAGATATACTTTAAACTCATACTTTGTTGTTAAAAACACAAAACCTAATATTCTTAACATTTATGGACACATAAAAAAATGCCAAAATGTAATGGGTGCGAGAATTTGACAAGAATAGAGTCCAACATCAGCTACTGTGGATAAAGCTAATAATGTAATACTTTCAACCCATTTCGAGGTCAGCACATCACACAAATGCATAATGGAAAATTAAAACTAAAGAATTACTAAACTAAAAGAAGTTTCCCTACATTTAGATTGGATGTATGAATTGCATTGATGTGTGAATTGCATATCTCTACAAAACATAATATACCAGTTTGCCCCAACATGGTGTCTTGTACACAAATGTTCTTTTATTAGTTTTACCTGCGTACGGTAGGTTTTATTAAGCCGCTTGGGCAAACAGACCTGGTGTGATGCATCTCCAAGTCAAAGAGAGATAAAGAACAAAGTAGAGACTGGAGGGCTTAACTTAAAAACTTCATTTCCATGTCAAAGTGTCAAAGATGAGGAATGTCAATCAGTGCCCTGGGTCCAAGTCTTTCATAGGTGCTGCTTTAAAGCTTTCTTTAGCGAGTATGTGCTGGGAGCAGCATATTTTGCCATTGGTTCTTCTGTGGTAGATCATTGCCGCCAGTGTCTGCTGTCAGTCAAATCTATCCCCACTGGGGGACCAGCCTCCAAAGCTCCAAGATGACAGCAGGTGTAATAGCAAAAACATGTCATATTTATTTCATGCTCTGATGATTTGTTTTTCAACAATTTATATTAGAAGCACACATCATTACAAACCTCAAAATGCAACTGTCATCCAGTGTCAGATAATTTGTTCGCAGAATATTGAGCCATACAAATTACTTGTGTTGCTGAAAGACAGCTAGGCTTCAAATTGTAATCTATTGAGGGAAAAATCCACCCACTGTCACTTTCTTTGCATACATAAAGTGGCCTATATATTTATTTTACAGTGACACAAAGGCACATTCAAATACACAACAGTTTCAACATGGTGACTCATTTCAGCCAAAGATATCAAGACATTTTAGTCTAGACAATAAATATATTTATTTTATTATTGTCATTGTTTTGGTGTAAAATCTGTGTGCTCCTTTATTTTACTACATTTAATTGGGCTCCCACACTGTTATGCAAGCAGAGCAAAGAAGAAATATCACAAACTTTCTTTATTAAACATTTTCATTTTCAACAATATTACAGCCATAAGTTACAAAACTGTGTACATCTCTTACTCCCTGCTGTTTTCTCACATCAAGTATTCCCAAAATGTCAACTTTGTTGCAACTTTTAATTGTCAAATTAAAAAAAGTTCATGTGAACTGCAACAAAAGTAGTTAAAACTTTTTCCAATCTGTTAAGACTTTTACTACCGAAAAAAAATCTAATTGGTCCAGATGATTCATGTTTGCACTAGTGTACATGCTTCTCTATTTAAAGAGGTCTGATGATCACAGTCTTTCCCCTACACAGCATCTAAGAGCTGGGGCTGTGGTAAATATCTTCCTATCTAAATGGGTGCATCATATCATCAGATAAATTCTGGCCTTTATGTTGTATCCGAAATATGTTTGAAACTTTGTGTCGTACAAAACTGACCGCACGTTATTGTTAACTTTGTATTAAAGTATTAAAGTAACTTCATTCTCGTCACTTCAGCTCATAAATTTAATTTATTGTTGTTAAGGTCATAGGTCCTACTTTGTCTAAATGTACCCACTGTGTTTCAATTAAATATCACAACTCTCAACTATTCTAACACAACTAGTCTATTCTAAAGCTTAGAATTTAACAAAAAAACAACA